GAGTTTTTGAAGCCCCGTCTAGGCTTCCCCTTCGCACGGGCCGATGATGACAGCATCAGGTGCCCGTCAATGCATGACCTTCGTTTGAGTATGCAAGAGCCCGGGAATGCAATGCTTGCAACACCCTGGAGGACACCACATACATGGCACAGGTCCCGATCCTGGTCTCCTTTGTCCGCTCGTGCATAACAGCAGTACTGATTTTGGCATTAGGTCCAGCGCCGATGTGGCATGGCAGTAGAGCGCTGAGAGGAACAGTGCATGTTATAGTGCTGCTGACGAAAGTTTGTGAAGAGCCACACGACTTGTTCGCTGACAGTCCATGGTGGCACGCCACCGCCTCCACCACCGCGCGCAGCGCCCGAAATGGTTGCGCCAGACGAGGCCAGTGGAAGCTTTGTAAATGAATCAATCATGCTTGGCACAGCTGTCCGTAATGGACTAGCATGCCAGGCGCGGCAGGCGTACATCTCGTCAGGTGGCTGGCGTTCAGAGGCGAGCGCATGGCTGACTCCAATGCAGTACTTGCAAAATCGAGCGATGCCACATGCCGGATATCATCAGCATTCAGGCATTTGATGCCTCGCAGCCATGTGCCACGCGCAGCAAGCTCGGCTACAACTGCAATCTGAAGTCAAGAAATCTTGTGCGCAGCCACGAAGGCGAACAGCGGATCGGTCGCAGCGCTGCTGGGTATCCAGTGCAGGTTGTCATGTCCGATAGCCTTCGCTGGGGTGCAGCACGGTGCTGAACCTCCAAGTGCATGACTGTACGAGTCATGCAGGACGTTGCTTGGCCGGAGGCCTGCCCCTTTGGTCTGGGTTGCTCTTAATTTGTTCGAGAAGGCTCATTCATGTACGAGTTTTTGAAGCCCCGTCGAGGCTTCCCCTTCGCACGGGCCGATGATGACAGCATCAGGTGCCCGTCAATGCATGACCTTCGTCTGAGTATGCAAGAGCCCGGGAATGCAATGCTTGCAACACTCTGGAGGACACCACATACATGGCACAGGTCCCGATCCCGGTCTCCTTTGTCCGCTCGTGCATCACAGCAGTACATCAGTACTGACATTATCGTCAGGTCCAGCGCCGATGTGGCATGGCAGTAGAGCGCTGAGAGGAATAGTGCATGTTATAGTGCTGCTGACGAATGTTTGTGAAGAGCCACACGACTTGTTCGCTGACAGTCCATGGTGGCGTGCCACCACCTCCAGCTGCCCCCGAGATTCTGGCTCTGGACGAGGCGGATCAATTGACGCATGGACACGGCATTGTCATGCATGAGCGGTGTGCCAGGGTGGCTTTTCCATCGCAGTGCGGTGGTCGTCCGTTGGTGCAGTCGCCTATGTTGTGGAATTGCGCGAGGCAAGCTGTAGGCTGATGAGCAATCACCATGGCATCATTTCCTTGTTTACTTGAAGGTTGGCTCTTCCACGGTCGAGCGATTCGTGAGAAATGCATCATCCACTCCTCCGGGAGCGCCGGTGGAGCTCAGAGCGAGAAGCTTAGCCAAGCGGCAGCATGAAACACCCAACTCGCCTGCCGGCACCGGACAACCCATGAGCGCAACAAATGAACAAGCGCATGTCTGCATCAGGGCAGAAAGTTTTAGAAGCTTGTCCGAAGGGCTTGGTGGAGGAACGACAGACTCCAACAGCGGCATGCCAGTTTGTGTACTTGTAGCATGTCCCAGGACCGAGACGGCTTGAATACAGTTACAACCATGTGCATCATCATCGAATGTCCTCGTGCACCTGCTTTCTTTTGCACGCACTAGACTACGCTCGACCTGTAATACAATTCAGGAAACGCGCACTGCACAGAGGGGATAGGACGCTGGTCGAAGGGCTTCCAGCGGGTAACGCACGGTGCCCTCGTGTGCCATCCATGGCCTATGAGAGTCGAAAGGAAAGCTCTGTTTCAAAACGTCCAGTCAGCTTTCGCCACTGAAGCGCCTCAGGATTGCGGAAACATCTGAGTGCTGTCAAACCTCTCAGAGATGCAACTCGAAGGATCTCTTCGCCATATCAGAGGGGCGAAGGTTCCAGGCAAGTTCTGCTGGTTCGGGATGGATCGAGAGGAACGATGCTGCAAGTTCGGGAGGGCAGAACGAAGTGGAACCTGAAACGAAACAAGCAGATTCAAGACAAGATCGTTCATCCATTTGTTGCAGTGTTTCGGCTGCTGAAGATCTTGCCCAGGCAGGAGTAGGAGAGGAACTTTGGTGCATGTCCACCGGCAGAAGCGTGCGACGACAGGTGTAGCGTCGAGACTTGGCTTTGTGTGTCTCAAGGTCGCAGCATTGAAGCCGGGACCTGGTCGAGCCTACATGGCCCAGGCCGTCAGCCTTTCGCGAGCGAAACGGGACAGCATGCACATGCAATCACATGCATGCCCGCTTTAGGTCCGCAGTATTGACCACCATGGATGCGAGTCCATGCCGCCTCTCGGCCACGGAAAGGTATCAAAACAACGCACAGTCAATGCTCGTGACTCAGGTCAGAAGTGGGTCGCTCCCAAACGATGCCCCACGTGCAGGGGTCTCAATATTTCGCTTGCAAATTGTTGATAAACTGGAGTCGGTGCAGCACTCAGCACTGTGCTTTACAAGCTTCCATGCAGGAGGCTGCCACATGAAGCATGGGTGCCAAAAAAATACAGATTCAGCCGGTCGCAGCCCCTCAGAGCCCTTTGACCCCGTGAGGGTTCCTACAGTCGCCTAGCCTGCCGATTTCCGTTTTCGGGTCTAAGCTCACATTCGATGGTGCTGGCACAAGGGATGGGAAGTTCCATATAGCCCCAGATTTGGACTCGGAATGTTTGGGACAGCTACCGCTGCTACAGCACCTACGCTGGTTGAGATGGCATCTGTAGTATTCTTGGCATGTAGAGCCGCCGGCAAGAAACGCAGGCCGGACATGCCATCGAGTCGAGAGCTCAGGCTTAGCAGTACTTCGTCTGAACAGTGACAATGGCTCCCGTCATTCATGTATATTCATGTTTCAGATGCAGTTGCAATCAAGGTGCAGGCTGTTCCCCGCCACCATGGCAGCAGGTCTGCCTTGTTTGGCTCCCTGCCATGCCTTCTGGGCATGGGTATCCTTCTGGCAGTTGGAGCGGTGCCGGCCTCGCATTTTTTAGCCGAGCTGCGTGTTCCACTCACGAAAGAGCGGTTGTGGCGATGGAGAGGCAGCCCGGAAGCAGCCGGAGCAGGGCTTCAGGACCGAAGTGAGTCTCGCACCTGGGAACCTGGTCAAAGGGGGTCCCATGCTCAGGCACCCGCGGCTTCAGCCAGCAGCAAGGCATGCGTCTTAGTTGTCTTAGTTTCACCATTTCGCACGTAAGCAGCCCCGGAACCGGCTCAAGCAGAAAGGATAGCAATGCATGCTGCTCTGATGCAAGCAACTGGTGGGAAAATGACACAAGCCAGAAATGCTTCGGACAGGCCTCACGGGTCTCGTGTATAGCAGGCATAGCACTTGCAATCTTGCAATTCGGGTTTGGCATGCGAGACTGAGTCGATGTCGAGTAGTGCGTATGTTTGCGGTTCGGTGACAATTGGTGAGTGTTTATTTGGGGTTTGTTATGCGGATACTTCAAACTCCGACTTCAAGTGAAGTTAGACTGCGATCGAGTGTGTGCAGTAAACCAAAGAGTTGCAGCGGATTGCGCAAGAGGTGTGCCCCGTTTGTACACCTTTCTGCACTCTGCAAGCGAGCCAGAAACGGCCCTCCATGTCTGCAAGGTGTCTGCGCCTGCGGCTGAAACGCACTTCCAGGCTCTCAGCTTGAACACAGCACCTTTGTGACACGAGCACAGAGCTTTGAACATTTGTCCACAAACAAAATAACGAGCCCGTGCTTGCAGAAGTAACTCTTGCACATGCTAGGCCACATGCGCGCATATTTGTCCGCACCAGGACATCTGCGACAAGCAGGCAATCCGCCAGGAGTTGCCTCCCGAGGCAGAAGGGGTTATCGTCAATTGGCTGCTACTGAATACTGGCGCTGGCCATTTGCCTGTGTCGCAGGTGACTGGTCAGGAAGAATCAGAATGTCTCATCCTTGATTGAGAACCCAGTTTTACACCAGGTCAGCCGGGTTCAGACCAGTCCTAAACCTTACCGAAACTTCCTAGACTCATTGACAGGACATGGTTCGAGCGCAGAAGACGCTACACCGCGCTTATTCAAGTGGGCGAGGACATCTCCTCAAAGGAACCCGGCATGTCTCGCATGCCACTTTTGGCAGGAAAAGCTCCGCCCACTCGTGAGAGCCGCAATGGCCTCCTGTTTCTTGCGGACGGGGTGGTTTACATCCCAACTGTCTGGTGCACGGTAGCAGCACGCGGGCGGACTCAACGGCTCACCGGTTCAAGCCAGTTAATGACGCCAGAAGTTCAACTCCAACATCGAGTCCTGCTGCCTTGTGCCTGCATGGTGATATGCTGCACAATCCGCCATGCGGAGCGCAGTCCACACATAGCTGTTCCGTCACAGATTCTTCACTCGATAGCGCACAGGAAGAATCCCGGTTCTTCAAACTTGTTTGTAGTGTTGACTTTGTAGTGTTGACGCGTGTGCGAAGTGAAGTGTCGTGGCTGAAGCGAACTGATTCGCCAGGTTAGCGCTGGATGCTCTGGAAGCAGATGCGATGAGCGCAGGTGGTGCCACAAGATGATCGAAGCTTCAAGGTCTTCACAGATCATGCACACTATATACATCTACATATACACATATATACAGATACACACATACATACATACATACATACATACATACATACATACATGCATACGTACATACATGTATGCAGTGCGCATGTGATGGAGTCAGTCAGATGCATGTGGAGGATTTTCGAAATGGGCACAGTCTGCAGGATGCTTGGACAAAATGCCAACATCCTTACTGGTGGGCCACTGGGCCACTGTCCGCTGGCGTTTGTCGTGCGGACGCGGATTGCCACGAAGAGCCATCGATAAAGGTGAATCAGAGCAGACCAGGCGAAGTTTCTTGTCTTGCAACAGCATGTCGAAAGCGCTGCGGCCACACACAGTCTTGAGACTTAGAACCAAAGATGCAGAAAATTGCGAAAGCTTGGGATGCATGCCACAACTGCTACGAAACAGTACTCGTAGAGTTCAGCAACTGCCAGTATGCAGAATTGCCCAGCATATTGAAACACGCGCTCTTCCTGTGTCTCCTGGGGCTGGCACTGACGCCATGGTGGCCGTGATTGGCATAGACTCTTGGAACTAAGCAGCTGGCAGTGCGGCATTTTTTCTGCTTCTGACGTTTTTTGTGCACGGTCATGATTCATGACTCATGATGTTGGAGCATGTTGGAGCTGCAGGAACATGTTCGGAGGCGCCGGCGCAGTTGCCTCATCGCTGTATCTTCCGCGCCGACTGCCTGGATGCAGCTGCTGCTGTCTTTGATCAGCTGACAGAGATGAACTCAGATCGTATGCGAGGTTAGTGCTTGCCAGTCTATACTGTCTTCCAGATGTGGACACTTTCGTTGGCACGGCGTGGGGTGCTTAGACATCTGCCATAAGGATTGCGAACTCATTTTTGGCAGCCCTACTCTTCTCCTGCACTGCTCACTACTCCTTCACTCTTTCTCTTGTTTTAGGTGTTTGCACGTTTCTGCTTTCTTCATGGAAGCACTGGATCAGATCGAATATGATGTGCAATTGGCCGGCGCAGAGCTGCAGCATCTGTCGGTCAAGCAAGTTTGATCAATGCCACGAATGTTTTCAGTAAGAACAAGAGTCTGCCCAAGTCTCTGCATGTCTGAACGAAGCGCGAACTGCAACGCAGTGTTGCAGAACTCCACATAGCTCCGAGAAAGACTCAGCAAGAGCTAGCGGGGAAACGTCCGAACGCAAGCACAGAGGATTATTGCCTTCCAAAGCCGCATTGAGCAAACTTCGCGGCATTTGCCTGCCGAGAGGCATTGGAGCGGGAGCTAACTGGTGGGAGCACCCAAACCAGCTTCTCTCTGAGGCATCAGAGCTCCCCAGGAAGCCACCAACGCGTCTCGCCGCTGCGATCAGGAGCCAGTATCCGCTTGGGAGGGATCTTGTTTCACCTGGGCTTGTGAGATCTCACAACAGTCAGATGAGTCAATGCCTGCAGGATCAGCACAAAGCGTGTCCGTGCTAGAGCGCGAGGTGCTCGACCTTGCGTCGTGACACGTTGACCAGAGTGCTGCTTGCCACTCATGCCAGGACGTGTCTGAAGGTAGCGATGATTTAGCGGAGCTGCTGCAGGCAAAGCGCCTTGTAGCTTTTGCAGCGCAGCATGGCATAGTAGACGATTGAAAGTTGCGGAAGTTGGACCGGCAGGCGCAAGCAGACCTGGACGTGAAGCTAAGGGCAGCTGAAGCGAGACTGAAGCGAGCTACAGCGTGAGGAACCTGGCCAGGAATGGCGGAGTGTGAATACGACTGCTTTGACACTGATACTGATACGCCTCAGGTTCAAATTGCCAGAAGCAGAGGCCCTAAGAATCGAGGCACGTTGACACCCAATGACTGCAAATGCCGAGTATTGCCAAGTGTTTTGACAGCTCTGTTGGGGTGATGCACCAATGGCCCATGCTTGTGCGAGATATGCCCACAAGCACATATCCAAAAACACCGAAAAAACAAAAGACATGTGCTCACAGCCGCCAGGACGCACGCGGAGCTGGCGGAAGGAGGAGGGGACCCGTAAAGTACCGAGGAGGATCGTGGGCGGTGGGCGGCCGCGGGCCGAAGTGGGTACAAGTCGCCGAACTCTAAGCAAATTTAGAGAATGTAGGCTCAAAGTGTAGTTCTTTTGTTTTGCTGCAAACTATCGAAAACGTTCGCCACTTTGGGTACGACCGCTCCCCCGAAATGTCGAAGCGAGCTAAAGGCAACAGGTGCACCTCACACGACTGCTCTTCCATGTAAAACGGGCATAGCAAGACATTGACATGATGGGTCGATCTTTTACCCGAAAAGATATGTGTGGGTGTTTGCATGCATGACCAGAACTGATGAGTTTTTTGTGGAAGCATAATAACATGTCGTCCATTCGCAATTCAAGGGCTTTGGAACACATTCGAACTAGCGGACTGCCAGCAGTTGGTCAACTCTCTTTCTTCATACCTGTGCTGCCTGCACCCTTTTGGCGGGATGTGAGCACCAAGGACGATAACCTCGCCGGAAAAAACGTCAAGACGTTCGAGTCACGTGACCCATTGCGTCATTCACATTCTTCCCACTTGGTAGACGAAAGCTTGGGGAGGGGATGATGAGAAACCAGAGGAGGAAGTCTTTTTTTGTTCCCAACCCTGACCACCATTGCCGTGAGATCTCGACAGGGTAAGCACACCACGAAATGCCAGTTCTACCAGGTTTAGTAGCTTTATTAGTTCTGCTGCTTTTACTGATTAATTAGAAGCTCTATCGTAGTTATACTAGGTTGCTTCTCGTTCTACTGCGCATACTTCGCATGTAGAAGTAGTACTAGTAATACTAGTACTCGTACTAGTACTGGTACTAGAACTAGTACTGGCACGAGCCGTAGTGCTCGTAGCTCGTACTAGCACTTCCCTACCACTGCTGCTACGGCAACGGCTCAAAATTAAGTCTTCATTTTACCATCGAGTACTTGACCCACCCCATGCCCAGTGCTCCAATCAATATTTGGCATCTTTAGCCTTTCGGAACCGTAGAGTTTTTCCACCTTGTCAATTATACTCGCGGCAGCGAATGCAGTTACTTGGACATATCCATAGACACCCTGACTCCATTGAGAACAGATGTACTTATATGACCTCTCAGGCATACAGACATGCCAGGGCCCTCAACCGCCCTGGACGCCCCAAAGCACATTGGGCGGAGTCGTGCATGACACAAGCTGCGCAGCGAATAGATCACTTTTTCTCTGATGCAGAACCTACACACGACAGTCTTCGTCACTCCTTTTTTGAGCTACCAACGTCACAACTGCTGAGGGACGCGCATCGCTCCTCGGGTTTAGTCTGGATGGACAGCGCTCTGTTGAGACGGGTGCATCCCAAATGCCAGAATCGGCCGTACTGGTCGAAGGAAGTCCACCAACCTCCCAGCGGCAAGGGACGATAACTTAAGCCACCAGTCAGGAATCAGGATAGGTGGGTGCTGATGTGCTCGTTTCGGAGAGCCTCACGCGTTCGAAAAAAACTCCTGCTACTACTGCTGCTGCATCTGCTACTACTGCTACTACTGCAACTGCTGTTGCTATTGCCACTACTGCAGCTGCTTGTACTCTACTACCGCCGCTGCCATTACTATTGCCGCCGCCACCACCACAGCAATTTACATGTGTATTCAAACTTGTTGGCCCATCCCAGACTTTCGAAAGTGCCGCTACTACTTCTACTACTGCGACTATTACTACTGCTTGTTTCTTTACTTAAACTACACGACTCCATTACCATCCACTGCCGCTGCCACCACTATTGCCGCCACCACCGCGGCAGGAATTCTTGTTTTGTTGCTATGGTATATTCACATGTGTGTTCACGTTTGTCGGCCAATCCCAAACTTTGGAATGTGCTGCAAGCTGCCCCTGCTATTGCTCGAAATCCCTCGGGATCGTGCAGATCTCGTTGTTTGTTGTTTTGACAGGTGCAATCGCTGCAGCTTGAAGCGAAAGACCTTGCGGATCAGCTTGCGAACATCTCCAAGCCAATCGCTACAGAAGGACAAGCATGCATGTGTTCGTCTTGCTCATTTCTATCGGAACAAGGGTGAGGCTACTCAGCGCACCCAGCTGCTGTGGAGTATTGCGTTGAGTTCACGAGCACGGGCTCTTCAATCCGGACTTCGTTCGGCCATTCGTTTGCAGCGGTCGAAAAGTGGTTGAAGATTCGCTCGAACCACACTACACCCGGTGCGGTGCGACCGGAGAATATGTGTTTGCTCCGCAAGGTGAGCTTTCTGGAGGCGGTGGTAAGCCGGTGGGGTGCGGTGCGATCGACTTCGCGACCCTCGTGGCCCCAGTTCGAGGAGTCGAGACGGCAGATCCATCCACTCTGAGCCACAAAGAGCTGTGTTTGTTGACGTATGCGGATCTCGTCCTGGACTCGTGTTGCACGCTACCGAATACACTCGTGGCTGGACCTCTGCATGCCCTTGCAGTATTTCCTTCCTTGCCACTACAGTTACTAACACGCAGAAATTGCTGGCCTATAAAAGCTGGTATCACAAGGAGAGAGAGAGAGAGAGAGAGAGAGAGAGAGAAAGAGAGAGAGAGGGAGGGCTGCTCCCGCCCCAAGCCCGAAGCAAAGCAAAGCAAAGAGAGAGAGAGAGAGAGAGAGAGAGAGAGCGAGAGAGAGAGAGAGAGAGAGAGAGAGAGAGAAGAGATGGTTTTCAGGGCGGCGACTCTCCTTTGCTGGCTTCCTGCTAAAGCCACTTGTCATGGCCGGCGTTAAATGCCCCGAGTCCTGCCGGGTGCTAAAAGATCCGTGCGTGTGACTCGGGGTCAGACTCTTGTCTGGCGTCGTGCCCAAAGTTTTTAAGTCCCAGGCTCGAATCAGGGTTCCACGGGTGCAGTAGAGTTACACAGTCAATATGAAAGCTCGGAACCGCTTTTCGATCTCTGACACTTCTCACCTGCCTGCCTGTACCAGTGAAGGTGCCAAGTGGTATGAACCCTGCCTATATAGTGCTTCAACCAAAGCTGGAATTGGGTTTCGGCTGGCTACCTCACAATCGCATTGACACCGTCGAAAAGTGCGCCACAGCCCTCTGCAAAACAGTCATAGACCAACAGATTCGGCTTGACTCCAAGGTGGACAGCATCGAACAACACACCAATGACCTGGGGACGAGATTGGAGCTCCTCGAGGGGAAGTTCGCCACAGCACAGTTCAGTGTTAACAGTAGCACAAGAGGTTCGGATGGCTCCACTGCAGAACCAACTCGCCCCGCTCTCGTCTTAGGGGGATGGGCAGCCGAACAGGCCGCATCCGAAACCCTGCGACTTGTCAAGCAGCATGTGGCACAACTGGAACTTGACCTCGACATGGACGAAGCCTTTGTCCCAGGACTGAGGCGCGGGTTCGCTATACTCCCGCTACAAGCTCGCCAGGGGGAGACTCAGATGCAACTCCGAGGACGAGTCCAGGCGGCACTGGCCGCCATCCGGGAAGCAAAGATCGTCACGGGACCCCGGCCAGAGGGGGGCAACTGCCACTTCTTCGCTGCGATGAGCCAGCCTCTTGAGCGGCGACGTCGAGCACAGTTTGCTGGAAAAGTTAAGCGACTTGTGTTGGAGGCAGGGGGAAGACACTCCGCCCTAGAGGTGGAGTTCGGGACAGCCAACGTCTGGTATAACGCTGTGAAGATCGCATCTGGGGTTACCACCGCGCCGGAGGGGGCTGTCGCAGCCACAGGGGGATGGATCAATCTTCCCCCACTGGCCCGGCAACTCGGCACTTCGGGGGATGCACTCGAAGCCGCCTGGAAGGAGCTCCGAAAGGCGCTCAACTGAGACCCAAACGAAGCTGAGCACATGTTTCACAACCAGGGGAAGACTCCCTCTGTGGTGCACTTCCTCAGTTGGAATGTGGGTGGCCTTCAACCTGCTAAAGCACTGCGAATGCTAGCCGCACTTCGACAAGCCCGAATTCATCCCTTTGGCGACAGCTTTGTGATTCTTCTTCAAGAGATCATCACGGACCCTGGCAAACACTTCGCGGAGTTTGACGATTTACAACTCTTTGCAGCTAAACTCGGAACAGAGTGGCGGGGGACAGGGGTAGCGCACACAGATGACATCCAGAGATCTGCGTGCAAACTGTCACCCTGCAGCACTTCGTGCACTCTTCGGATCGGAGATGTTAGTCTCATTGCAGTATCCCTCCACATCCCGCATCATGCCAACCTCGAACAAACGGGGACCATCCTGGAAGCGGTGCAACGACAGATGCAGCGCAAGCACAAAACTGTGCTGGGGGTGGACGCCAACGAAACTTTCCTGCTGAGGGGGAACAACGGCCATGACTCCGAGACGGGCAGAGGGGAAATGATCCTGGGATGGCTTGAACGAGTTCAACTCATCTTCCCCGAGCAGAACATTAGCAAGCCAAGCTACTTCCCTTATAACCACCGACTCCAACCACGGCGACTTGACTACATCGCACTCGGGCACCTACCTGCAGTCTCCGGAGATGTCCTCGCTCAGAGGGATGTCGCGGGATCCGATCACGAGCCCGTTCTCGTCAGCACGACCATCAAGCCCGCCAAGACGGACTACACAACAAGAGCCCCGGAATGGGGGAGCCGGCGACTACGTGGACCAACTGTAGTCGAACAGATTCTCAAAGCACCCTTGGCATCCGGAGACCCGCTGGAAGCCCTCAAGCGCACCGCCATCGCGATTACTGTCCCGGGGAAGGTCCTCCCTCACTTCCAAGAGAGCCAGAACTTGAAAAACCTCCGGGGGACAGCCATGCGAACACAAGGCGGACAAGAAAGACGCACCCTTTGGAAGCAGGTCTGTCGACTTCATGCCCAAGAACATCGCAAATGGCGCCAAAAATTGCTTGACCGAACAGCAATCGGGGACTGGGGCGCTAAGAAAGCACTGGCCCAGTCAATGCGCAGCCATGCGTGGGAACTCCGGCTGACGGACGATCCCGAATGGCAAACGACACTCACCAAGCACTTCAAGGGCATCTTTCCGGGGGATTGTTGAGGCCAAGTTCGCTC